ACAATTCACCGTTGCTATTTTAATTGAGCCACTTATTTAGTTTGTAGGAATTTAGAAAAATCGGTAAAAAAAATCATAAACAGTGATGAGCACCATCTTTCTTGATAATCAAAACACATAATAGAAAACCGGGGGAACATGCACACACTCACCGACACACTTACACAAAAAGTAAACATGATATAAATAGAATAGCGAGCCCGATCTCACAGTCAGAAGGTTTCCCGATCTCGCAACAAAGTCCGCTCCGCTGCATATTCACAGTATTCAGTGTCTTTTCAATTTTTCGGACACATTGTCCAGAATATCAAATTTATGGCGATTTCCTTCTTCGTCTAGACCAAAGACTTTCCCATTATAGTACCAAGCACTGTGAATTCGCGGATCACCGTTCAAGTCGCGCACTAATTTGGCATTCATTTGCGTTAGGTGGTCGTACATGGTGAAGATGTCTTTTAGATTTTTATCAGATCTGTTTTTGATGACCATGATCTTGATGTCGTTGTTTCTAAATTTTGCGATCACAGGACGTGGTCCTTTTCCATCTCCCCCGGGAATCCGATGGATCTCCAGGACATCTGCGGGGTTAAGGTCAACGTCCACCACTTCCTTGAGTGTTGTGCACAGCCGTTGTTTAAGATTTTCATTTTTCTCCTCTGCCCAATTTATGAATTTTATGTTACTCTTTTGGGAGTACTGTTGATTTTGATTTGCGAGGGTTATTGCAGATCCAGCTATAAATTCACATTTTTTTAGTTGTTCCTTCATCAGGTCTGGGCGGCCTCCGTTTTTGGAGGATAGCTAAATTCAATATGGCGGCCAAAATTTTTACCATATATGGAAACCGCGTTGCATTGTGGGATAGTTTATCCTCCGATTTAAGAGGATAACACAGGTAATTTTCAAACACCTCATGCCTACCTTTAATCAAAAAGTGCAAGCACCAGAGTACATGCAAGTAAAAGTTCAAACATTAAACTATCGATTGTATGTGGTGATTTGAGATTCTATGTCTAGATATTTTGCAATTTATTTTCAAAGTTAGCACTTTTTACGCTCCATTATTACTGAATATTTCTTGTTATTTTGTTTTATTTTTTATGATCTTTCCCTATTTAGACAAATAAAAAAGGACTTTAATATTTCTTTTATATTTTCTTTTAATTAAAAAAAGGAAACGCATTTTAAGCATATTTAAAACGCAAAATATACTCTGCCTTATAATTTAAGCATAAAAGTACAAATGGATTGAATGAATAATTATAAAAAATAAATAAATAATTTGAATAGCATAAGTAAATAAAATAAATAATTTGACATGTTTACTAAGAAATTAACATATATTCATACAGCCATGTATATACATAAACAAATAAAATATTACAAAGTGATGTGCTTAAGAATTAATAAATGAAAGAAATAATAAATTATTGAACTTAATTTTTCAAAGAAAAAATGTTTATCAAAATTTCTAAACTGCTTATCACATAATTACGGTACTGGAAAAATCAGCGTGGTTATAATTAACCTTAGTCACAGGCAGGTAAGTGCAATATTTGTTTTCCAAGCTGTATACCGAATAACTGATTGACGGAAATTAAAAAATAAAGTTATATTGATTTAATATCTTGAATTATCCATCAGCATATGAAACTGTACCTTTTATGTTTTGATTTCGAAATCAGCGTACGGTTCATAAATGCAAGAGTTGCTGTTATTTGTTTGGTTAAGAGTTAACTGCCCTTAGTTTTGAAAATTCCGGTAGGTGGCAAGACCGCTATCCTCTGTTTTCAGAGGATAAAATCTATCCTCCAAAAACAGAGGCCGCCTAGACCTGTTCATAGATCTCATTTCACTTGCCTGTACACTGAGTTTTTCTCGAAGAGTGTCGAAATCAAGATTAAATCCGTCTGAAATCTCTTTTGTTTGTGTTTGGAATTCTTTACATGTTTTCTCTATTTTCTCCTCAAATTCTTCCTTTACTTTGTTTTTAATATCTTTTTCAAAATCTTGTTTCATCTCTGAAATAATTTCTTTTTTTATCTCGCCTTTCAGCTCATTTTTCAGTTCTAACAAAATTTCTGAGACTATAAGTTTTACATCCGATTTCTTAACCATAGATTCTCTGATCTCAGTTAGACTGTCCTGAATTTGGTTCAGATCGTAAGCAATTTCATTTTGTTCTGATTGACTATTGTCTTGATTGGGGGGTTGATCTCCGCTACTAGTCCTTGGTTTTTTCGCCGCGGCCTTCTCAGAAACAATAGATTTTCTTATAGACATAGGTGCCGCTTTTAAATCAGTAGCTGCACTAATTTTTTTGTTTTTGTTTGTTCTTTGTCTGGAGTTTTTTTGCTGGATCCCGTTTTATCCATTGTGGGTGAATACGTGAGTGAATACGTGTTCACAATGACTGAACAATGAACAATGTCTTAATTTAAATAGTCCACTTGTATACGTTACAGTAAGCCAAAAGTTAATGTAAAACTCACCAGATTGAGTATTAAACTCCTTTACACAGCATTTGACACACTTAAAACCAAAGAGAAATAAGGTTTAGGAAATAAACAGCGGAGCCTAAAATTTTTGGTCAGTCATAGACCATCACGTGACCGGAACTCGTTAATAACTAGTTAATCAATTTTTGCATAGGCCTACTTAATTGGTCATCGCCTCTGAGCTTTTATTCACTTCGGAATGAACCTCAATCAAAATTCACCTGTTTACTCATTTGGGAAATATAGGTTGCATGTATAAGGATAATCTGAATCATCGTCATCGATATGCATCCACAGATTATGAGGCTTTGGTCAAATAGGATGTTCCTTAGGCAGGTACCGGCATTAATGTAGCTGCAGATCTGTAGCTCACTGGTCTGAAAAGAAAATGGAATGGAGCAGAGAGCAACAGTGCCACCAATTGAAAAAAAAGTGTATATTGACTGTGCACAAAAAATAGCGCTGTTTCTTGATTTATTTTTCCGTATATTTAAGCTGCCATCTCAAATTATTACTAACAAGTACTTTGTGTTCCTAGCATATTCTTTTGCTAATCCTACGACAAAGCATTCCCCAGATCTGTTGTTAATAGCCCTCCTTTGCAAGAAATTGAGACCATCGAAAATTTCGTCTATCTATGCTGCCATTTTGGGTGGCAAGACAATTCTGTCCAACGCATTTCTTTTTCTTTCTTTTTTTTTTTTTTTTTTTTTTTTGCACTTCGTGCATCACTTAATTGTACATGCAGTTTTCTGGTGGAAGTAGTAAAAGAAAATGTTAGGAACACAATGTTAGTAATATTTTAAAAATAATTATACGGAGAAATAAATCGAAAAACAGCGGTTTTTTGTGCACAATAAATAGACATTTTTTCAAGGGAGGCTGACTGTAGCTCCTTGTTTGTCCATCCTAATTTTTTTCAGACCAGCAAACTCCAGAACTGCAGCTGGTATTAATGCAATATCAGAAGAAAGAATCCGTCTTTAGTGATGTTTTCCATGCAAGACCAGTCATTGTGAGACTATATATAATCCACGTTGGAACCGACCTACACCTAACAGCTTTAATCACTGTCGTGTTTAATTCGGCGCCGGTTGTGACATGTTTGGATGCAGTGATAATGGGGTAAAATGTACAAACGGCGAATTTTGTGTACCAGTTTCCGAGCTATATTTTGGTAAATATTAAATTATTTATTCGTTTTTTATCGAAATTTTACAGATATTTTGTTTATCAAAATGATGTGTTTTACTTTTGTTTTTAGAGTGCATTTAAATTACTCATCGAAGCGATTTTTATCGAAGCACATGGCATTCTTACCCTGTTAATATGTTTTCATTTGTGATTATTAAAATAATATTTAATATATCTTAAATCTGAAGCGGACAAAAGAAAGAAAAATCATTTTACGAATAAGGCATTGAAAGTTTAATTTGTTTTCAATACAAAAAAATGTATAAAAACGCGTTTCATTTTATGTACCCGTAACAAATATATTACGGTTTGGATAATGAGGGTGTTCTGGTTTGGATGCAATTATTAATTTTCCAAAGCCTTATGTAAATGTACAGGACCAAGCTAATCATCTCTTAAAAGAAATGATGGCTACGTTTAGAAATGAAGGGAAAATGATGACAAGAAGTGGGACGTGTCATGGTCTAAATTGTGAATTCAATACTGGCATTAATCGGCATTAATCAACCTGACAGACGGACATGTGTAACATTGAAAGTTTAAACTGTTAGTTAAGTTTGACTTGATAAAGTCTTTTAATGTAAAACATGTGTATAGCAAACATTTCCCCATGCATAGGAAATCATCCTTCAGAATTGTTGTATAAGTATATAAACGTTCCCCCTTAATCTGGATACTCATTTATAACCGGAATTAGGTAGAACCATCGTGTTTATTTTGATTGCTGATACCAGTCAAAATTAATATTATGAATGAACAAGATTCTGAATAAATAAATTCGTGTGTAGCTTACCGAAAATGTAAATTAAGGAAATGTGGTTGAAGAGTATCTGGAGGTTAAAGAAAACAAAACATACAATTCATCCCTTTCTATTCCTTTTTTGTTTAAAAAAAAAGTCCTCCTTGCCAAAGGATTTTTTTCTTCCCAAATTTCTGTAGAAGAAAAGTTTTTGAATTTTAATTGGAAATATGTTTTGAAGAATTTGAAGAAATACTTTAAATACCAGTATATGGGAAAAATAGAAAAATTCTATAATTCTTTAATGCACTAAGTGGAGGAAAAATTGACTTCAGGGTAGCATAATGAAGTGAAATTACTTCCACGTTATGAAAATCTTTAATCCTCTAGATTGATTTTTTTTTTAAATTTAAAGTACATATCATGATATTTTTCTTGCAGTCTTATTTTACAGTAATCGAGATTTTATATTAAATTGTCAGCTTTAAAAATATAGCCATTGTGTTTGCTTACATTACAGTTTAGATCCGTGCCCGCCCCTTATATATATATAGCGAACAATCTAATGCATTTTCCGGCCGCGCGGCTTGTGGATGTGTATCATCTTTCACATGATAAACTATTATTACAAACTTCACGTGACTAACAGGGAGAGAATACACAAGCTATACAAACCTGGGGAAATCAACGGTTATCATAAAGTCAGCCGATATCTCGTCCTCAGGTAGGTTTGATCTTTTATTGATTTAAAAAAAAAAACACAATCTTACGGGCATTTGCACAAGGAAGAAAATACGTCTTAAGATCAAGAATTTAATGTAAAATAACAGTAGCCGAGGTTAGGCTGGGTGTGTTAGCATTTTTTTTTTTGGCAGCTGAACGTAAGTACTATGAGTGAATATGCATGCAGTTCTGATTGACTTGGTAACAGGTTCGGCATGTTAATTCTTATTTTATGTCGGTAGATTACCTCGACCTTATTTTAGTGCCGTGATTGTAATACAAGTATGTATATCGTTCGCTGCCTACTCCATTCATTCACACTAAGATAAATATTTTTGTAAACAGCCGGTAAATTGGGCTATTCATGCTACGAACTTTAATTAAATTTTACACGCACAGAGAGAGGGAGAGAGAGAGAGAGAAATGGGGGTCATTCACTGGTGAATTTAGATCCCTCCTTTTAGTGTGCCAAAATTTAGAAAAGCTTTTTTAGGTTGTTAAATATTGTTTTAACATGCATTAAACATAGCTTAATTACTAATTACTCACAAATTTAAGTTGTTACAAAAAAAAAAGAAAGAAAGAAAAAAGAACTGGGAGCTTCTAAGAACTTCACCCCCTGGGCCCCCATTAACGCTTTGCCCTGGACCCAACCCCCTGCCTAGCTGTTTGATCCCTCCTCTTTTCGGGAATCCTGGATCTACCATGCACATTATGTACGTAATACATATGAAAGATTAGAAATATTCTCTTATTTATAATAAGGGAAGTACTTCTACATATATGCACATGTACTACCTAGTATATATATATATATATATATATATATATATATATATATATATATATATATATATATATATATATATATATATATCCACAATGCCCCCCCCCCCCCAAAAAAAATGCACAACGTTTCAACTTGCATAATTATGATGACGTGTTAGAAAAAGTAAAATTTTTCAGTGTATATGTGTCCCCGATATTAAAAGTATGTCGAAGTTACTAAAAAAATATGTCTGACATTTGAGTGGGATTACTTTACAGAATACTTGCTTCTTTGTGCATATTTTAGGTTTCTTATCAATTTGCATTTCCTACACATTTTCATCCTCCCGGATCTAGTGACGAAGTCTCAGTTACACTGTGTTTAGGCCTAAGAGGAAAAAAAATGCGCATCTGTTACTTAGAACTTATGCTGAACTGCGTAATTACATCTACTCAGTCATCTTTTACTTTGTCAATCGATAATAAAAACAATGTAAATGTTTCTTTGTTAGAAAAGCTTGATCGACCATTACATCTAAATGTACATACAACTTACACCCATCCAACCCCTTCCCAACCCCAACAAAGACGCATACGCAGCTAGGATAAGGCTGTCCGTAAAATGTCAAACTGTTCCAACTGTAGTTACTTCTCTGAACTACCTAGATATGACGTCATAATAGCATATGACGTCAAGTCACTGCATACTTGAGCTGACATGACGGGGAAAGTGTCATAACTTTTACATTCCTTTCACATGACATGTAAAGATTTTTTAGCGTTTTTGTTTGATTCAAGTGTATGGATTATTCTTTAAGCATAAGTGTGCTGTTATGATGTTGAACATTAGCAATTTAATATCATTGTTCCTTTAACTTGTCTGATATACATATATTCAAACAATAACAAAATATCGACTGTGAAACGCTTCCCCTTAAACGTCTGCGGACAGAGTTAGAATTTATAAATCGTGTATATATTTGACTGGCACAAGTGATTAATAAAGATAAATTGAAGATATTCTGTGTGAATCTACCAAAGAAGTATATCCTCTAACTGAATTTTGCTGGGGGATTGTAAGTAATTTGTCCTATTTTGTATAAATTGCGATAAAGAGTGGAACATGCCCCCTTGTATGTGGATAAGTTGAATTTCTTGTGGAATATTTTCTCAAGAAGTAAAATTCAGACTTGCCCCCAGCATTTTATATGTACCAAAGATCACGATGAATTGACTTATGTGACAAATTTTTCTCAATAATGTTGTTTTGCACTTGTGCCGATGCAATTTTTGTGCAATATTTAAGAATTTATAAGTGTCCATCACATGATCAACAAAGTCATGTGACATCACAGAAATGCATTTTTATAATACCTGATTACACTCTCATCACAAGTTGACTGCAAATTCATACATAGAATACAAATTTAAATTAAAATCTAGCTCAAAATAAAATGCAGATTTTAATGCATATTAAGCCTTCGGACAGCCTTAACATAGCTGCGTATGAAGTAGTTTTTTTCTGTCTGCTTCTAATGGCCATCGAAGGTGTCTGGAAAGGGTATTCCCTGCCCTTCTAGTCACTTTATAACAAAATTGAGCAGCGGTACTTCTAAATTCAATATTTTAAGGGGGTACAAACGCACCCCTGTTCCGACCACTACCGCAAAAATTGAAAGAGATCGATTCTGGAGGTACTAGGCTTTACAATGTAAAAGATTTCCCATTTCTTAAACATTAAATGTTTCTTAAACATGAAATGTAATTTTCCTTTCATCATTTCAGGTAAAGAATTATAATGGGCAAGGGTGAAGGAGGCGCCGCCGGACTTTTGTGGGCTTTTCTGTGGTTTCTGGTTTTAATATTCCTCGGATGGCCGATCGGGTTCTTCATCGCTTGGTTGTATGTGCTTCTACTTCCGTTTGGAGCGTGTATTGCGCCAATCAAAGACGTCAATCAACAGATACTCAGAGTTGTGCAACTTCCGTTGACATGCGCAGAGAATATGGTTGGAATGAAACCAATGTGTTAAACATACAATTTTAAAATGTACTCTTGCAAACTACACTTTTAGGCAGCAAAGTACAAATGTTATTTATTTTATATCGAACGTTTATATTTTTAAATAAATGTTGTGCCTGCATGCATGCAATTTACATTTTTGTATTCAAACCATACAAACAAATAAATATGATGATTATTATTATGTCATTATTTATAACTTCCAAAGTATATTTTTCAAAGTCCTCAATGTCTCTTTTTTTTTTTTTTACCTGGTACTTTTTTTCTTTCTACAGTTATCCCCCCCCCCCCCCCCCCCCCGCACACCACTTCTAATTCATATATGTACTTGGACTTCCAGTCATTAAAAAGGATTTTGATCAAGTTTGTTTGCATTTAACAATCTCTTACTCTGTTTTTAATTATGTCTCTCAACTCTTTTACATTGTATTTCTGATTTTTTTTTTACATAATAGGAGTTAAAATTTCTCTTTTAGATTTTCAACAAAGAATAAAACAAACATTTGTTCACATTAATCTTATTTTTTTTAATTGCCACAATTTCATAAAAATGTATTGCTGATTTTTTTTTTTTGGTCACTGTCAAGTATTACTTTTTTCTTACAATATCAATTACACAAACACATTAAACTGTAATCAATCTGATAATATCTATAAAACGTAAGTATCAATTATCATGATATAATTGTGGATTCTGTCACATCAATATCATATGCACAGTCATTAAAAATTCCCAGTCACTACAAAGATAAACCTTGCGTTATTTTTTTCAGGTTTTCACACTGTAAATTCATAATTCATAAAAAAAAATTCACTATTAATCCTCCTGCATTCATGCTAATTTTAAAACATATTAATGACTTTCTATAAATACTGAAAAATAAAATTTATATCAATAACAGAGAAAATGACTATCTTTTAAGGAACATAGCACTGATCTTTTTTGGAAAAGATGTTGCTATAGGAAAAAAATCTGTAACTAAATGCCTCTCTGCGACAATTTAAAAATAAATATCTATTTTACAATTGCATATACGTTGTAAATGCATTATTTGGCAGATATTAAAACTAAAGATATAAAAAAAAACCTCTACATATATGTAATTATACAAAAGATCTCAAATTTTGAGAAGAATATTACAGATAAATGGATAGGAAATTTAAGAAATCAAAAATACTGTTTAGTATCATAGTAAGGGTGAGAGCAGAGAGGATGTACATAACTTTATTTAATTATCCATAACAGGCAGATACATGTATATAAGTTACCAATACAAAGTATTGGTGAAGACTAAAATTTCAAATATTATTCAAATACCATCTGAAACCTTCATTACCAATATTTAAAAAAAAAAACCATACATAAACATCCACTTAGGTTATTGCAACTAAAAATGTTCATGATGCCCATAGAAAAAAAAATATTCCAGAGAAAAATATTTTTAAAGGAAAAAAAAATCCATAACTACATGTAATATCATTAAATTCCCATTACTTCCCAAAATATTAAAAAGAAAAAAAAAATCATAACAAAATCTTACAATGATTGAGCATAAGTTCTCCATTGAATCAATTACCTTACAAAAAATCTCACTTAACTAGCACTTTTTCCCCCACAAAAATTAACCAATCACAATTATTCATGCAAATTATCAATGCAATCAACTCCTTAATTCCATGTCCACGTCATGAATTACTTCCTTATTCCTGATTTAGCCGGCAGTACACCACTGCACTGTCACAGACTCTATCATAACATCCGCCGTATCATGTAGTTAAGGATTCCGCCGTGCCTAAAGTAGGTCAACTCCACCTCCGTGTCGAACCTCGTTTTGACTTGGAATGTTTTGCCGTTACTCAGCTGAAGGAAAAAACATCATCATGATGATCAATTAATTGATTTAAAAAAAAAAAATGAGATAAATTTATACTTCATAAAATGTCATTAGTTATGGTTTAGTAAAATACATGTATATCACTACATTATCAGAGCTGGAAAAAAATCTTAAGTTTCAAAAGTTGAAAAAAATTATCAAAAGAATCTTAGTAACAAATAATGCCAATGTTAAAATGATAATGAGGGATTAACCTGTAACAAAGTGTAAAACAACAATTTCACTGTTCAAATCAGTGAGAGAATATGTAACTAAGTCAATAAAGATGGTCCAAAACATTCATTGAATTCAATATCACACAGTACAGCAACCAATATGCCTAACTCATGAACCTATTAACATTGAATTGGTATGGTTTCACTGAAGGCATGATCATGTTAATATTTGCCTCTAATCTTTTTTTTCCAACTTTACTGAACTACAGCCACTCTAAATATAGTAACACATGCTTACATTGAAGTGCTAGAGACGAGGGTTTCACTTCGTTATAGACATAATTCATTATATCTTTTAAGTTAATAATATGATTTTAGCCCACAGAGAATGAAAATCCCTTCACTATAAGCATAAATTCATTATTAACTTGTTTGCTATAAGGGTGTTTTACTGTATAAAGAATTTTGACCTTGACCTCTATCACCACTCACCTTGACCTCTAACACTTGACCTGCCGTGAGGTTATCGGGGATATCTACAGAGTAGGTCTCTGTGCCAGTCAGCCCCAGGCTCTCAGCGGTCTGTCCCTCCAAATACTGGAACGGGATGATCCCCATCCCCACCAGGTTACTACGATGGATTCGTTCATAACTCTCAGCTATGACTGCCTTAATTCCCTGTTAGAAAAAAAAGCAATCTTCTAGATTGATGTTACATGCATTCATTCACGCAAATAGTTTAATACGAATACAGTCAAACCTTGTTGTCTCAAACTCAATGGGACAGAGAAAAAACTTCGAGATATCCGAGGATTTAAGATATCCAGTGTAAAATATGTAAAGAATAAGAAGTTGGGACTTCAAAATCACTTGGACATGTCCATGATATTCGAGATATCAGTGTTTGAGATACCAAAGTTCAACTGTATATGCTCAAAGAAAGAATCCTTTTGTGTAAGTAAGGGAGTTATTTATTTATAAAACCTGGATTTGTAAGAACCCTCATGTCTATTCCTCACAAATATTTCTGCTGCTAAAAACCTTCCTATAAATACATGTATGGTAAATGAATTTTTATATGCAGTAAATGAAGTACTGGAAGTGAGATTCCAGACTATTTCAGAAGAGACTTTAGAAAACAATCGGCTTGTGTGATATTGTGTAACGGGCATTTGGTACGTCAGACCAGTAGCTCAGTGGTAGACATGGTTAACAGGAGGTACCGAGTTTGAGTTCCCAGTCTAGCTGACATTTTCCCCGGCTTGTTATATTTGGTGCCCAACAACAAAACCCACGAGTGGTTTAGTGGAATCTTATGAGGTTTTCAGGATGGAAAACCTCAAAAAAGGAGTGTGTTACAGGGATTGAGTATTTGTTTATGTCTACCACATTTTAAGCAAAATAAATCTGTAGCAATGACATCCAAACTTAACAGCATTAATCATTAACTTCTCATTACCAGTATCCAGGGTCCCTTGGCTGCCCAGTCTCGGGACGACCCAGACCCATACTCTTTCCCTGCAAGAACAATGACCTGGCGACCATCCTTCTTATACCTCTCAGAGGCATCAAATATGTCCATCTACAAAAAAGGGGAAAAAAATGAATTCAAAACAGAATGTCTTAATCTTGAGATTTGCATTAAATGATGGCATTTGAGTTAATAGAATAGTGAATCTTAATTGATTCAACAGAGAATGGGGTTGCTGGTAAAAACTCTATTTTCAAAAATTTTCTTTAGTCAATCTGGTTGAATATTGGTTGAATTTTCTCTTAGAGTTAACAAAAAAAAAACATTAAGTGGGTTGTTTGTAATAACTAAGATGTGTCGATTACTCCACGAATGTCCCCACAAGCAGCCAAAATTTCAAAAGCAATATTTAGATTTAAATTTGTATTGAACTTGAACTGTATTTTCCGGAAACTGAAAATTTCTTATTTTTTTCCAAGTTCAAGAGGGATATCTCTGTCAAAAATCACAGGACCATGACCAAATTCGAATTTGACCTGTATTTTTTGATAATATACCTGCATATGCAATTTCATCCTTATACATACATCCCTACAAAAGTTAGAGAGTGGAAACTGATAATTTCTTATTTTTTTTGTAAGTTCAAGAGGGATAACTCTGTCAAAAATCAACAGACCAGGACCAAATTTGAATTTGACCTGCATATACATATGTCGTATCCATATGTCAAATTAGATTTGAATGTGTGCAACTGTTGCAGAGATAATGAACAGAAAATGAAGGATGACGGAATGACAGAATGACAGAACTGGGCAACACTATATGCCCCGGCCATTTTATGGCGGGGGTATAAAAATAAAAACCTTTTTTTCTCATCAAGATGGTTATCAAAATGAGTCTGACCCAAATCAAAATGAGACATAAGTCCCTCCCCCCCTCTCCAAAAAAAAAAAGCCTTGTGGTACAAGCATCACCAAAAAATAAAAAGTAACCCTTCTCTTTTGCACAAAGAGCCCTTCCAATCTCCACTAACCTCATCTCCGGATGGAATGTGTCGGGTCCTAGGACCAGCTTTGCTCATGAACTTGTTGACTAGACGAATATTGGCAAAGGTTCCTCTCGCCATCACAGCATCATTCCCTCTACGAGATCCGTATGAGTTAAATTCACGAGGGGTTAACCTGTTAAAAAAATGTGAAGACAATATTTTGCTTGAAAAACCTGCTTTTTTATGTTCGAACTATAAAAGTGAATGTGTTTATTAAAATTTTTATCACATACACGCAGCGGTGAAAAATAGAATCAAAGTACAGAATATTTCCATATACATGTGTTAGATGTACTTATTTTACAATGCTTCATAATTCAACTTTAGGGGTTTAAAGCAATATATGCACTGTATTTCCAAAAGCCTATGAATTCAACACTCCAAAGTAAGAACATTTCAAGGGATTCATAAACATACAAAAATTTTTCATACTTTGACTCAAGGGAGCTTAGTCATAAGCTCTGAATACCTACCCTCTGTTGCCTAGGTAACGTGCTGCGGGGCTGTTTCTAGCTATACTACCGGCAGGGGATATGTGATCTGTGGTCACAGAATCTCCCAAATTCAGTAAAACGTGGGCATCTTTGATGCTTTCTGGTTTAGTGACTTCCTTACCCTGTAGAAAGAAGAAAATTTTCATAACAAACTTTTTAGGAAGAACTTTTGCTCAATATTTATAAAAATTTTATTTACCGCTCTTTATTGAGGGGTCAAACCTTACCATGTTTTCAAAGAAGGGAGGTGACTTGATGTATGTTGACTTCTCGTCCCAGGGATAAAGCATACCTTCAGGTGCTACTAACGAGTTCCAGCGTTTGTTTCCTTGCTGTTAATTTAATATGTCTAATATTAAATATTACTATAATAAACCAGCATCAGACAATTTTTTGGAGAACATTAGTCAAAATCACTTATGCTGAATTAGAATAATTTGTATTTCAATAATTTTCATTACTGACATTTGACACTAGAAATTGGCTGGCACAATACATTGTACTAACTAAAGATTTCTTTTTAATAAAAAAAAAAAAAAAGAAGAAGCAAAGACATGCTGTTTTTAGCAACACATTTAAACATTTATCAATGTTAAAAACTATTAAACTTTAAATTCAGACATACTGTTCATATACATTGATATAATTTAAGTATTTCTTAAACTCTGATATACAGAACAAAAATAAGAACATTCAAACAGAATAATTGACACCAACCTGGATTCTTGAGTAGACGTCGGTGAACATCGCAGGGACAACAAATTCTTTTTCCACTGCCTGTTACAAATAACAACATTGGCATACATATACGTACAAGATAATAATTTTATGAAGGACAAAGAATATTCTGCATGTTAACACTTTGCATTTTGTCAAGGAAACCATGTTAAGGTCAAGATCTAGTAAATGAAAGGTGCCTACAGATTTTTTAAATTTGAGAAATAAATTCCATAAATTATGCATTATAACTTTAGATTGGTCATTTAAGGTGTTTCGGGCATAATATGTAGATGAACAAGACGAAAAATCATATTTTAAACTGTCATTTTCAATGAAAAATTAAGAAAACCAGTCAGGAATACAGGAGTTTTTTTCCATATCAGACAAAGGACATGTGGCCTCTAAGAAAATGATAATTTGTATGTTCTTGGTCTCTTCTTAAAATAATATTAAACTGAATATAGGTATCGGGATTACTTTTCACATGACTTCAAATTAAACTCCTTGAAAATACTTTATTTTCTACATAATTAAATTAGACTGTAATGTACGGGAAAAAGAGAAGTTAAAATTGATTAGGCCAATTCAACTTAATTAGTAGATTATCATCCAGGGTCACTAAAAAATATGGGGCAGGTGGGAGGGTTTTATTTTTTATTTATCAGTTTTTTTTGTGTCCGATTTTGACAGTAATTCACGCCATCTGAATGTCAGGTTGGGGTGGATTGTTGTCAATATTTCCGCTCACGAAATCACTGTAGAAATCGATGATTGTTTTTTCATCACTAAAATTTGTAGCATACCAACCCCTTCTTTCGTTCACGCCTGTCACAACACGAGAAATAATAAAAACCATTTCTCTTCTTGACATGCGGTTCTTGATGTTTCTAAACAGGAAATACTTTTTGAAATATAAATACAGGAATCAAACACGAAAAATCCGGGAAACATCATTCTTGCAAAAATAAAAAAAATTGGAGCGGGCCAATTTCTGAGGGGCGGGCGGGGATGATAATCTGTCAATTAAGTTGAATTGGCCTTATGACGTCATAATGGATCTAGCACCAAAAAGTTTCTAAAGTCATTTACTAGATCTTGACCTGAAAATTTTAAGACCTTTTATCCCCCCTCCCTCCAAGCCTTTTGATGCATCTAATCCCTTTCTGTATACATATTTACTCCGTAAGAAACATACCTGGATTTCCTCTCTTGTTGGCCAAATATCTCTAAGATAAACTGGCTTGCCTTCAGGATTAGTACCTAAAAAGAAAGGAAAAGGATTTTAAAAATAAATCATACAGTACTTGTAGCATATTACAGTGAAAACTGCCTATTCTGACACCTGTTGCAATCTGTTTCACTGTGAATCCCAACCTTTTTTTGATTTTCATTCCCATTTTTTCTTTACACCGTGCCATCTGACACACTGACTATTCCTTTACAAAAATTTGTTTCCCAGTGCATATCGGATAAGACAGGTTTCACGTACACGTAACTGAAATCACTTCTTTTTAGTGTGTCATTCTGACTGGCTTCAAAAACTAAACTTGGGAGGCAGGAAATTTCACTACCTTTGGTCAAAATAACCGTCCTGGATTGAATTGCTTTTTATTTTTATTTTAAGTTTCAGTCATGCAAATGACTGTATACAATTGAAATCAAATTTACATGTATATAAATGTCCAAAACAGTGACAGGTACACGAATCATATCAGTGCAGAGGTGAGCATGTACTGTGCATTTAATTTGTTATTAAAATCTAAATCAGGGTGGGGTTTTTTTTGCAATTCGTGGGAGAGTAAAAAAAAAAACTCTTGTACATTACTCAATGGTACCACATAACATACCCCTGTACTTGTAAACTAAAAACCAAACAAACAAACAAAAACCAACACAACAGAGCAAATTCCTACAAGTTTATTCCCTCCAACTTTGTTGCACGGGGATAAAAAAGGGTCAAAGAAAACAACTAAACAAAAGTACAGTGGTCGACTAATCCACCATACAGGGTAAATGTTTATATCTCACCCAGTGGATCTTTTTCAAAGTCAATAAGGACGGTTCCAGCAAGGGCATATGCGATGACTAGGGGTGGTGAGGCGAGGTAATTAGCTCTGGTGAGTGGATGGATCCTTCCCTCAAAATTCCGGTTCCCTGACAGAACCCCACATGCTACCAGGTCACCCTATAATATGTACATGTAGAAAATGAAAGTAGCATGAAGTGTGTAAAAACCTTGAACAACCTTGTGGTCATTATTTTTTATACATAGAAAACCATTTTTTTTTTTTCATTCCAATTAAGCTACAGAGATTATAATTATTCATGTGCATAAATTATACACGCATAAGTTAGATGGGGAAAAAAAAAGATGCAAGTATTTTTCATAAAGTACTATGAATTACCTCTGTATGTGTTTGTTCTAAGTTTTTTTTTCAAAAATTAATATACTGTTAAGTACCTGAGACACATTTTTTAGGGCAGCTCATAATTACTTACAATATTAAATATTCCTGAGTATCAAAACCCTATTTACCTTTTCTATGCCTTCTGACACAGGTTCTGGTAGGGGCCCGCTGTTACCAATGCACGTCATACAACCGTATCCTACGATGTCAAACCTGTCAACATCATTTTTATATCATCAATGAAGTTAACTTTATCAGAAAAAAAAGTTCATGATTTTGTTTAAAGTCAATTTTTTGGAAAAGAAATAGATCAATTGGTTTTAGCTGAGCTGGTTTTTAATACCATCTCTATGCTGTCTAACAATTAAGACTTTTAAAATGGGAGTTTTTCTTTGTACAGGGTTTTTCCATTTTTCTTAAGAATTTTGACACTTACACTTTTTTCAAGTACAAGGTGTTCCACTTCTCCCAAGATTTTGACATTTACCCTAGTTTTTCTAGGCAAGGAGTGACTCTTCTTTCCAAAAGATTTTTTAAATTTACCCTTGTTTTTCTAAGTTCTTCCCTGTGAGTTTTGACACTTACCCTAGCTTTTCTAGGTAAGGGGTGACTCCACTTTCCCTGAGGTAGTAAGTGACAACTCCACTTCCTGGAGACAGACTGGTTTTGATGTATGGTTTGACACTTAGCCCCGCCTCTACTGCTTTTTTAGCCAATATCCCTGCAGAGACAAATTGTATGCAAATTCATCATAAGGTATGCTGATTATGATGCACATGAACTGTAGGATAATCTATGTGAATATTAATATGGAAGACAGATTACTCACAATAATATCATATATGCTTTTATGATTTATAGAACCATTCATATGGAGAAAATGTGCAAATACTTCCTACAAGAATTTCCACATTTATAGTCTTTTTGGAATGTTGAAAGTCTCAAAGACAGAAGGATGAAAGAAAAAAAAATAAAATTGGTATGATGAACTAATGTTTCTACAAGGTATTGCATCAAAAACTGGCAAAAGTATACAGTATTTAAACATTAAAAATTTTCTGTTGTGTATTATACCATAGAATTTTTTTTTTCTATGCGTAACAATTTTTGCGCAAATATTCCAAAAGACTGTAATTTTCATTTTGCATAGTCCTATTTTCCTGATTCTTCCAATGGTTTATTAGAGTCAAATCTATCGATCTATGACATCTATAAATTTCTTAAACGGTGATAATTTTGCAAAAATTCAATTTTTGGTGATCTAAAAAAAAAGCGAAAATTGCATTATCACAAAAATTGCCCATTATATGGTATTTCACCAACACTTACCAGCTCCCAGCATCACACTAGGGTTACTGGTGTTAGTACAGCTGGTGACGGCTGCTATGACGACAGAACCATGTGACAGGACATACTCTTTGTTGTCGAACACAATGGGAACTTTTGTATCCTGCTTATCAGCTGGTATTGCAAAACCCTAAAATAGACCATTCAAAAACAGTTATTACCTGAAGCATTTGATAAAATCATGAAAACTTTTAAACACCTCGCTTCTCTTCCCATTTCATACCCTTTGAGTCTAAAATTGCCAGTATTATCTCATACTTAAAATAAATCCGCTTCGAATGAAATTGATTTTTACATTTACTATATTTTAGGTGTATATTTCTACCATGTTAATAGCTCTCCTTCTGTGTTCCGTACCACACTGACCCAAAAAAGTGACAAAATTGAAAATTTCCTCTTTGTAACTGAGTCTTAATACCAATTCATAAAATATCCACATGAATAATTTTCACAACAAACAAATACAGTACCTTGAATCCTATCTTGTTATCCAGACAGGCCTTGAAGTCAGTCTTCATCTCGGACACAGCGACCTTGTCGTGGGGGCGTTTGGGTCCAGAGCAACAGGACACAACTGTACTCAGGTCCAGCTCTACCACCTACAGATATTGGAGGAGTATTTTATATTTACTGAGGTCTACATTCTTTCAACCTTCTGTCACAAGAGAGTTCATATAAATATAATTTATACAGTATACATGTACCATCAGTAACTAAGGGATTCTCAATAGCCTTGAATGAAAAAAAAAAAAGCTTTAGCAGTGGAAAAAACTCCTGCAGATAAAATCAAAATTGCTTTCATTTTTTTCCGTCCTATTCCTACATCTATTTAATTTCACTCATCTTGTAAAATGCCAGTAATATATATTTATACATGTATATTTAATGACCCCTCACCTGTGAAAACACTGGATCCTCCTCAGGATTGCTGTAGTTTCTAAACAGTTTGATTTCTCTTAGGAATTTCTCAATGAACTTGATTCTCTCCTCTGACCTCCCTGCAAGACAAAGCTAGCTTAGAAACACAGGAATATTTTCTAATATGACTATCAAAATATTTATGACTTGAAGTTGTTTTAATGTACATTTGCCATCTGAATCCATGTGTAAATTTCACCCAGCACTGATCAGAAATTCTAATATGGGAAACGAAAGTTTTGTATTCTGCATAATCATGCATCCAGTAAATGCGAATCAAACAGAATCTATATATGACAGGTCTTCTTCACAAGCAGTCTGTTTTTTAACACAAACAAATTATCATTTTCTTACATACATGTACATATATGTAACCAAAGAGGAAAAACATGTGATGGACAAGACTGGGATTCAAACCTGGGCCCCCTGAATCTCCAGTCAGGGTGCTCTACCAACTGAGCTATCAGGCCTCTGGCAATCGAACCCATCTGACCGCCACACATATAATCTGTTCACAAACTCCATTTCTTTAAAAATTATATCCTCACCCACTTAGCTCTTGACTCTTTATCTACCTGTTTGTCTGAGGTACTCCAGGCTTTTCTCGTCCACAGGGAAGAACCCCACAGTGGCGCCGTACTCGGGACACATGTTAGAGATTGTGGCTCTGTCAGCGATGGACAGCTCGGACACTCCTGGTCCAAAAAACTCCACAAACTTTCCAACGACCCCGATCTGTCTCAAGTGCTGCAAATTAAGTAAAGAAAATTTGGATCCAGTTTAGTTGATTTCACGTTAAATTTGGTAAATGGTTGAAACAATTACATGACTGTATTTTCCTGTTTGATTGTACAGAACTTTTTACAGGTTGTATATAAAGTTAATGTACAATTTAATTTCTGCACTTTTAACATCTGCATATATTTCTTGAATACCATGAATTTTTCTAAGTCAGTTTTCCAGGCCTTCAAATGAGTCAAATTGCAATTTCTGTATGTTGAAAAACTTAAATACATGTATCTTTCAATTTTTCAATAAGTCCAAGCATGTTCAAGATAGTAAGGTTAACTATAACTAGCTGGAACATCCCAGTAAAGAATACTATAAATTAATTTACCTTGGTAACAGTCAAGACGACATCTGTGGAGGTCACTAGATGGTCCACCTTGCCTGTCAGTTTATACCCCACAACCTCAGGTAACACCATACTGATAGCCTGACCCAGCATAACAGCTTCTGCTTCAATACCTCCAACACCTGCAAACAAATAAAACATCAGCTAGTATTCACAGATGCAGAAATACATGTAGATATTTTAATCTTGTTTTCCATGTCAGAGTCAGACAAAGAAGTCTTGTATTAAGCATTAGTAGTGTTGAACTTTTAAATTCTAAAATTAAAATCAAGCACAATGGGTACCAATCATTAATCACTAAAGACAACATTCATTTTGTGTAGTGCAAACAAAACATTTTTAATATTGCGAGCTAATTTATCTCTGGATTAAGTAATCTCTCTGGACAACGTTTGAATACTTGTTCATTCTTACCACTGTTTACGTAACTTAAAAATTGTCAATATTCAATTTTTTAGTCCTCCTACTTATAAACACCTTACTTCCATTCTAAGTACTTACCCCAGCCTACAACCCCTAGTCCGTTGATCATGGTGGTGTGGGAGTCTGTCCCCACGAGACTGTCTGGGTACAAGAGACCACCCTCATTGAAGACGACCCGGGCCAGGTACTCAAGATTCACCTGATGGACGATGCCTGACCCTGGGGGAACTATCAACATGTTCTTCAGAGCAGAGGCTCCCCACTAAAAATGGAGGAATAATATAAATATATAGCTGATGGTTAAAACTGAAAATAAAACACTGTAAAATCACTTATTTTTTAAAGGGGTTTATTTCCTGAAGAGACCCATGGATACAAGACTAGCCCCCCCCCCCCCAACTATATGTGGCTCAACATATTTAACATTCAAAACTGCAATACAGTATCATTAGGTTTACACTTTTTTCAACACCCCCCCCCCCCCCCCTTCCCCAAGATCTAATTTTTTTCCCCTCAAACCACAAAAATTTTACCTCACAAAAATGTGATTTTTCAGCATAAATTAGTTTAATGTAAAAACTACTAAACATAGTATTACCTCAGTAGTGAATGACAAAGAGAAGTAATCAAGCTCACAATTTATGTTTAAAAAATTTCTTCAGCTTGTGTCATTTTTGTCAAAATATTGGTAACTTACAATACCTTTAGAAAAACAAATCTTTCTCTATTTCTCTCAAATTCCAGCTCCTGATTTTGTTCTAAAGCATCAGCACTGCAAAGTATAAACAATTCCAAGATAAAATACATTTCCATTATATAAATGTGTTATACATTCTGTATGTCAGGCTGCAAAAGAATTTGCTTTAGATTCATTTTGAATTTTCCCTTTCACATGCACACAAGCAGAATTCCCCTTTCTTGACTGTCAAATAAACATACTTATGATGCATGTACACTGTGAGTGCACAAGCAGACAAAAGAGGTAAAACATAACATGTTGTGATGTTTTGGTAATTCTGTTGCAAAGGCTAAATATTTCTAAATAAATAAAAAGATATAAAAAAAATATAGACAATGAAATGAATATTTTTCACTTCCCTTTGAATAATTTCACGCCAGCTCAACTTTTAAATCATGCATACTGTAAACCAACTATTATTCGAGTCAACTTTTATTCGCGATTCGTCAGTTTGAAATCAATCCGCGACGATTAATTTTCGCGACTGAGGAAACATTCTCTACAAATACAAAGCAAAATTAATGGTTCACGGCGATTAATATTCGCGAGTTCAAGTATGTCGCGAAACTCGCGAAAATTTCTCACAAGCGAATAAAAGTTGGTTTACAGTACATTATGCCTATTGAATTAAAGCTATACAATAATATTTACTAAAATAATAATAAAAAAATTGAAAGCCCCACCCAACCTGCAAAAAAGTATATATAAGCAAACAACAGTAAAGTCAAAATGTAATGAAAACAGAATGATATATAATTCAATTTATATTAAAAACAAGCATGCATGAAATCAAAGCTGTTCACAGTTTATCAAAATATACTACCAACCCCTGTGTCTTCTGCTTGTGAAAAGGACAAATGTAATCGGAGATGGGAGACCGAGGGTCATGACACAGGTTGCAGGTTGACCTCTGTGACCCCTGAGCCCCTGAACTTTGACCTCCTCCAGGGTTGGGAGAATATTTCAATATACTGAAACAGAATGACAGGAGTGAGGTTACAATTAAGAGTTTGCTATATGTTTAAGGTTTGAGCGTGAAGGTTTTTAAAGGATGAACCATGCTCTGTTTAAGGGAGATAACTTTTAAATTAAATAGTTCACAATGTTTCCTGTTAGAAAATTTATGTCTTTGGAAATAAGTTATTAGTCATTTTACTGTACCCAAGGAATTTTCACCCCCCATTTAATTTTTTTGCCCCCTCATCCTCACATGGGCAAATTCGATGGAGACTAATAGTGAAATTTCACCAAGGGGACAAGATTCAAGGTCTAGGACGAGGCTTTGCCGAGTCCTAGACCGTGAATCTTGGCCCCGAGGTGGAATTTCACTATTCCCACACGAGTATGTAATGAATGATTATTTTTCTCGCATTATTTTATCCAAAATAATGGCCTGTCAATCACGTCGCCATAATAGGGCTAAAAATATATTCTTTTAATTTTCCATCTAATTAAAAATCTAAATACACCATCGGAGAGAGCGTACCTGAAAAAGGTTTACACACAGTGTAAATGATAAAATGAATTTCAGTCCATGTAAATTAATTAGATAGATAAAAACTGGGAATAAAAAACTTATCTATCCGATAGCGTACACATTCATTCAAGAAGAATCCTTCCACGATCTAAAAATAGTGCCATTTAAAAAGTGAAAATACGACAATATTTTGAATGAAAATAAGTTTATCTTAATAAGTTAAATGACAACATTTTGAGTATATGTAATATTTTTTAACATTGTTACAATTTTTTATATAAAGACGGAATGTTTACGTTATCGTTCGCGGCGTAGTAATACACTGTGTAAGACAGAAAAATCTCACACTGATGTCTCACACCGGACAAGTCAATCTTACACTGGTGATTCTGCCAGAAAGAGTTATCTCTCTTTTATAATAAACACAACTGTATTTTAGCAAAGTATGTAATGGAGCAAAATCATTTTCATGACAGGACAATAACGAACCTTTAAACAACATCTTAAATTGTAAAACTATATCATGTTTCAAATCTGCACAAATTTCATTCATTTGGTAGATTTTCAGGGAAACATTGCCAAAATTACGAAAAAATATCATTTCATTGAGCAGAGAATTGTTCTCAGTTAAGGTTCATCATCCCTCTGTATATTCACATAAAAATTTTTTCACCCTAATGATTTTTTAAAATTATTCTGATTTATAATTAATATGCATACAATTTCAGTGTACTTTACAGGCAAAATTTGATGGAAATTGTACTTGAACTTGACAATTTTAAGTAAGAATTATAGACATTTATCCCAGGGAGAGTTATCTCTCTTCCCTCAGGGTCAATGAACCTTAAATATGTTGTTGACAAATAGCAGTTAAAGGACTTATCGCATGATCCTTCAAAAATCGTAATTTTATGAAAAATATTATCTATAACCTTATTTATTAAAATACTGATTACAATAAACATTGTTGGAAGCATATTTTAAGAGATATTGAGAGTTGAAATTCAAATACGATAAAATAAGTGATTTGGTCATCCACAACGCAGAAAATTCAGGTTGTATTGCGTATATTTTAGTAAGATTAATGAAGGGCTGATCAGCCATTGTCGCCTTTGACGTCACAGAGTCATGTGATCGCTATCTAATTAACTTAGATTTTTAATTCAGGGGTTATCATTTGACTCAATAATTGGTCAATTACTGCAATTTATCCACAGTAAAAACACAGAATTTATGAATTGTGGTCATAAGCATGATAAGGAATGTAATACGCTTTTAATTTCAAATAATTTAAAAACATGCGATAAGTCCTTTAAATGATATACATGTAAATAAATAGACAAAAAAGCTAGCATAACTAATCAAAATCTAATGTGGAGAAGAGAGACATAAGATAATTGATCAAAACAAGAATTGAGTTCCGAAATATAAAAAAAAGTTTGCATGCATCAATTTGAGTACAATATTTGTATATCTTATAAAATAAAATCCATTAATGTACATGTAGAAATCTTCAGATTTTCACATACCATTTGCCTGAAGACTACTTGAAGCTTACTCAAGTCATAACTATCCATGTACTTGTATGTGTGCAGATTTTGAACAAATAAGAAATCTAATGCATATGAAGTCAACAACTTGTTTTTTTAACCCCCCCCCCAAAAAAAAAAATCAGGGAAGTGCAGATATCAGGATATTCATGAGATTGTAAAGATTAGACAGTCATGAAATTTTTGTTTTTCATCAGTAAAAAATTGCAACATACTGTAATTTCCTTTTTTTTTCCATTTTTTAGAAGGTGGGAAAGTTAATTTTATATATTTCAGACTGACCTCAAATTTCTCGAGAGTACTTTGTATATTCATGATGAAAGAAATACAGTGTAAGTGAGTGATAAGGTCAAAGAGCAAAAGAATAGACAAAATCCCTCCCTTTGGTCATTACCTCCTTGACACGTCCACCTGAATCGAGTGGTCTATCACGAGGTCTGCTGGACAGATGGGGTTTATTTTCTCTGGATTTCCCCCCAGTCTCTTCACAGCATCCCTCATGGCAGCAAAATCTACCACAGCTGGTACTCCACTAAGAGGCAAAAATAAAAAAAATTAACAAAGCTCAAGTTTGAGGATTTTTTCTTAAATCTAGTAGTAAATCTTTTCTTAAATCAGCACTTTTAATCAAGCACTGATAGTATGTTTGTAGATGTTGAAAAGAATAGTCAATAGCCCATAGAAGCTTGTTTAACAGACTTGGCAAAACATAAACAGCCAAACAAAGGCTTGGTTTTGTTTTGTTTGTTGTTTAACGTCCCTCTCGAGAATTTTTCACTCATATGGAGACGCCACCACTTGCCGGTGGAGAGCTGCAAATTTTGTCCTATATTCGGCACTTACGGCCATTGAGCAGTGAGGGATCTTTTTTGTGCCAGCACCTACTGCGACACAGGACCTCGGTTCCTCATCCGAAGGACCGGTCTCCACATCCCACAGTGGGATTCGAACCCGCAACATAAGGATCAACTCCTTACTTCGCGACTCTAGAGCAGACGCTCTAACCACTGCGCCACGTGGGCAACACAAAGGCTGGGTGATGAAAAGGAAAAAGGAAATTAAGGAGGAATAATCCTTTGCTAAGAGAGATAAATCTAAATTTAAGAAATCATATAGGATTCCTTGACAAAATTTTTATCTTCAACATTCATTTGCCTCAAATTTTGCCCCAAAATGAGTGGAAAAAAATTGATCTAGATTTCATTTATATCTTCTTTTATTATGTGTATAAGATTTGTCTTAACTAAAAATCCCATGTTAGTGACCAGAGGGATTAGATTTACCCTTAAAGCTGTCTTACGTGAAATCTTGTAAAATCACCCTGGCAGGTTTGAATGGGATCTCAACACTCTGTCCCTGATTTTTCTCCCAGTTCAAAATGTTCTCCACATCTTTCTTCAGCACTTGAAACTCATCACAATTTCTCACTGCAGACTCCAATAATACTCGAATTGAAAATGGCAACTTTTCTGAAACAAAAAAAACAACAAAATATTATTTAAAGTAAATATTTCGTAGAAAGCAATTTTTGTACAGATTCAAATTTTATTTTCCAAGCAACAGTAATAATGTTAACAATACCTTTTTTCCCTTTCTTTCTAGGGTTGCTAAAATAACTGACACTGGATTGCTTAAATAGCCGACACATTTAAAATTAAATTTTGATTAACTTTTCAGAACTTTCAGTAGAAGATAAAGGCAGTGCTCTCTCATATTAAACATGTTAAAAACAAACCACTAACCATATCTGGCATCTTTGAGATCTGCCAAATTAAAGAAAGTGAAGCTTTTCCCATCAATTTCAACATTCTTCTTTATTCCTCCATAAGGGTTTGTGGATCCTGTAAATAGTTAAGTAAAAAATACCAGTTTTTTTTTTTTTTTTTTTTTTTTTTTTTGTATAAGTTAGAAAAATATAAAGCATTGACACTAATTCAATCCAGACACAGCTTATCAAATAATATCAAGTATATTATAAGCTACTGAACTGTAATTCCCTTGAAAGGAAAAATCAAAAAGGATTCAGTTATAATATCACTAATCAGTCAGGGGTGAGACTGAAATCCGTCATTTTTGAAAAATGATGGATAATCGTCATATTTACTAAGTACGTATTTTCGTCATTTTTGTCAATATGACTTACTATCGTCATATTTTCTTTTTCAACTTAATTCTTCTATCCTGGTTACATAAAAGCGAAATTTGAATTCACCGCTGAAAGAAGAGTGTTTACGCAAGTTTCATTTCATCCGGGTCACTAATTACTGCCGACCACGTGCGTTAGAACATCAACATGGAAGGTGAAAGTTATTATTTAGCGGTAAAATGTCGAATTTTGGTAGAACTAATTCGCCATTTTTACATGGCTTTTAGCCCTATAAAAACATATAGTACACCGTCGGGAAGAATACGTACTTGTAGAGAAAAGTCTCGACAAAAAGTTAAAGCCATAAAAAAGTAGTGCGCCCCGTAAAACAAGCGAGATATTTCAGTGCGCCCAGACCCTCCATTTTGAAAAAAGACGGAATATCGTCATTTTCGTCTTCTTTCCTATTTAATGCAAATAAATTGACAAATAACTCTTCCACTCTTATTTTTGCTTGGGAAATTTATACTGTCAACATAACCAGTATTGTAGTCAACTGTATTAGAGAAATGAAGTTCGTTTACGATGTTTTTTGTCCTTTTTTCGGTTGGTGGATCTAACATTTTTCAAAGAGAGGTAACTCGGTATTCTATAAACACTCTAAATTTTTATGACTGTTTTTGGTCATTTTCTTAAAAATGACGAGTTTAAGTCATAATAAAAATTTTATTTTATGGCTTAAAATCGTCATTTTTAAAATGACGGATTTCAGTCTCACCCCTGACTGCTAATAGAAAAAAAAATTAAATTACAATGACCTTTCTTGTTGAATGGTTTGGATATTATTTCTAACATAAATCAAAGGCTTTTACAATATGTGGATCTGTAGCTCTCTATTTTGTCCGTCCAACTTTTCTTTCCCAAAGAACTACATCTCAGCAGCTAATGCATATCAATACATAGTGGGAAAGGGGGGTGGGGTGTTAAGCTTCACCAAAATTAAAAGCACAACATCAACTTTACAAAAAATCTCATTTAACAACTTAAAGATTTAACGTGAACCCGTGCTCAAGACATTGTTAACAAAATGAGCTCATGTTTTTTTTCCCCTTTTTTTCCTACAAAATTCTCGAACAGAGGTACAAATAAATATATAACAATGTAAATGCAAAAATATAAGTAAACATTATTTTTTTTTTGACCCGTAGCCTAACTGTCACTGCACCGATAAATCCTGAGTAGGCCTAAGATCAAAGTACATTTCAACAGTGCAAATTACGCAAGACTTTGAAAGTGAACCGTTTCTATGCCATCTTTTTGTGGATCAAAATCTCACAAGCATCTAAATTGGAGGTAAAATTATTTGTATTGACCGACTAAAATAAATGAGCACAAACTAAGAGAGAATATATAAAACAAATTGAGATGTTGTGATTCTCTACCTTCGGTCGCCATTTTCCTTCTTGCGGAAGTCACGCACGCAATCAATGTACAAAGCAAGTCGTACAACAAGTAAGTCCTATGCCAAAAAAAAATTAATGAAGGCTGAAATAATATGTAAGACGGTGCGACCGTTGGTGAGGGCGGAGCCATCAAGTGAACATTTCTACATTTTATTGTTTAATGATAAATCAGTGTTAAAATCAAGTTGCAAGTCATAACAAAAACCTCAGTCCTTTTAAAAAACTCTAATTAAGTTCTCTTACCTCAAATATTTTTTATTTCAAACAAAGAAATTTAAGAGTATTTGGTTTTATAAATCTGGAAAACTTTTACTATGATATTTCATCATGAATTGCTTGGCCAGAGCATTCAAAATCAAATAGCATAACGGGGAAAGAGTGTGCACTGGACCAGTGTCGCCAGTCAAGGATTTAACCTACCCAGGCCCAAGAACTCTTAAACGTTAATTTTTTCATCTATATGTATCTGTCCAACAATTATACGTGAGCTTGCGTGAGCATCATATTTCTTTATCTTTCACGACTTAATTAAAAAAACCCAATCCAGAAACATCAAGTCATTTAATTCCCATCTTTTACTTCCAATGCATGGTTATGACATCAAATACAAATAAGGACAATTGTCAGAGACTACATCGGAAGTTGAACTTGGGACCCAAACTACAGAAAGATGATCTGACTCCTGGGTTATCAGGACACTTGGAAACTGATCATCTGACCAACACTAGGACTGTGTATCGTGAGGGCTAAAAGTATCAGCATCGCAAAATTTCTGAGAATTATTTTCTTAATTTTAATGGAAAAAATGTAGAGTAAATTTAACGTTTCTGCATTTAAAAAAAAAAAATAATCTGATTCGAATAGTCTTTAGTGCTTTCTAAAACTAACATAAAAGCAAGATGATTTTTTTTCTTTTTAATATCTGGAAAAACGAATTTAACTCAATAAAAGTTTTTTTTTCCAGATATTAAATTGTTTAAGCGAAAACTATTAGAATTTTAAAACCAAAACTTGTGAATAATAGGATACATTTCTGGGAAGTATCGAATAGAATATTTATCAATGTATTGACACCCCCCCCCCCCCGCATCAGTAATTGATGTTTTGTGACATCCCTATCCACAACATAATAAAATGGATCATATATGGAAGCTTTAAAAAAAAGAAGAAGATATTTTAGCACTACTCAACAACTTTGAACTCTTTGCATGGATTAGCGTGGGTAATGTCAAATGAAGATTCGTTTTGTTTTGTTTTGTTTTAAGCCAAGAGAACATGAAACTTTATTCATATACATGTCATGTATTTTGCTGTCCCTCCTGTATTGTTTAACTTACTTTTTTCATATGGTTATGTATTGTTTAACTTAATAGTTTTTCTCATGATTTTGTACTTTATACACTATCATAGTCCACCATAGGTTCCAACTGGCTGAATACATTTTCAGTTCTATATTTTTAAAAGTACTTTTTAAAATAAAAATTAGAAATCATTTTATTTTATCCGTTGAAACGTATCCACATGTATAAGTGGAACATGTGTTTGATGTGGTAGTTTGAGCTTCCGACATGTCCAAAGATTTTTCTTTTGATGGTGAACTTCATAAACTGAAATTTAACACTTAAAAAATGATAAATCTTTTGAGAAAAAAATATTCACAACAAAAATGAAACACAGGCCTCCACCGGTAAATGTATATAGGAACAAGCAAGCAATCAAAGACAAGAATGAATGAATGAATAAATAAATCCATGTAATAAATAAATTAAAAAAATAAAATTAAGAAAAAAATTTTTAAAATTAAAATGCATACCCCTTCCCCCTTTCTTGAGTTCATACCAGAATTCAGTAAAGCTTTTCATGCTTTTTACCACTAAAACATTTTTTTAAATGTATTATTCATGGCCGTAGGAACCGAAGGGGGGGGGGCACGGGGGGCCGTGCCCCCCCCCCCCCCAATAATTTTCGCCGATATATAGATTACTATAGAAAACATAGCTACTATATATGTTTGTGCCCCCTCAATAAAAACTTGTGATGAAATTTTTTTTTTTTTTTTTTTTTTTTTGCTTGTCAAGGAATTTTTGGTTAATAGTGCCCCCTCAACTGAAAATGTATGGCTGCCCCCCCCCCCCCCCCAAAATGAAATTGCTTCCTACGGGCCTGTTATTCAATAGAAAAATTATACTATGTCACAAAAAATCTTATATTTCTAGTATGTGTATTGAAAATAATCCTGAAGACATTCGTAATTAATAAATTTTATTAACAAATAAATTAGAGTTGTTTCTTTTCCCTAAAGTCTGGTGAAACGGCCACAGAAAGATCCGCCCCTCCATAGTGCGTAGTACGCAGTCTAGACAGTGACGTCACTGGAATTCGTTAAACTGAGTTTTTTTGCTTCACCAAAATATAGTAAGGTTTATTAAAAGGTGGAATAAATCTGTTTTTAAAAAGAGAGTACGCATATGAAATATCAGTTATTACAGGTTGTTAAAAATGCAACAGTTTCCGCTGATTCATCAATGAATGACGTCACATGTCAGGTCTATGACGATCGAGAGCAAGTTAGTTGAAAACGAAAGTAACAAGGATGTGTACCATAAGGGTGCTTTTGATTATTAGAATTGATAAAACTTCATTAACGCAGGATTGGAATTAAAATTACGATTCTCCAGCATCTCGTTAATGCGGGAATTAGTCGCGAGATTCAAGATGGAAAAGACTATGGACGCCATATTGGCGACAAGGTTCTCAGTTCCATAGGTATTGTAATAAAATTATAGTTTACAATAGAATTCAATATATTTTACATACATACGTGTTACCTATAGGGAGAGCTTCGCTCTCACGGGCCCTTCGGGCCCGTGAGAGGGCTCCGCCCTCTATTATTCGAAAATTTAGTTTTGCTTCTAATATTTTTAAGGAAATAGGACTGAACGCAAAAGATTATGTAACTTTTGATAAAGCATGCAATAAAATTAAGAACAAAAGCTTTTCCTCAGAAATCAACTTTTCTCTAAATTGAATGATAAAACTGAAGACTATTTTTTGAAGAGACACGCCTTTCAGTAAAATACAACTGTGATTAAGGACACTGTCCTTACAGGCACGTAGTATTAGGGGAGGGACTGCCCCCCCCCCAATTTTTTCCTAACATAAGGTTTTACTATAGGAAATTTTCATGGAAGGGGTGGTTGAACCCCCCCTCCCCCCCCCCCCCACACACACACATTTTGTTGTAGCATAGTCAATAAATAGACTATCATCAATTATTAATGCATTTGCATTATCGGAATTATAGGCCGCTATATAATTCATATCAAATTTCGGTTTCCGACCGTGACAGTTTTAAACATGCAATACATACTCAGGTATTGATTTTTAAGAGGGAGTTCTTAAAATTAAAAATAAAAAAAGAAAAAGGAAAGAAAAATACTTTCCTTTTTAAATTCATCAATATGAATTAATGAGTGATCTTTTCTGTAACCAAGAAGAATGTCTATATATCTAATTATGATTGACATAAGTTCCGCTGAAATTAAAAAAAAAATGAAAGAAAAAATCCGGACGTGCATCGGGTTCTTTCTACACCATCTTTATAAGTTTCAGTATTTGGATTATAAATACGTCATTGGTCTACTAAAATTTCGATTTCATAATAACTTTCCAGATTAATAATTAACATTATATATTCTCTTGCATATATTTGTATCAGTCCAAATTAAAATCCTGTGCTAAATTCCATTCACCACACAAGCTAATAAACTTATAGTTAACAAAAATCACAATCTCGTTATTCGTTATCTTTATTCAGGCCTTAAACATGCTCACTTGAATTATTGTATATTTACATACAGACAACTTATATTCAATATTGTTATTAAATAGTGTCAAAGATCCCATAGAATCAGTTCTAACCGAGCTACATAAAAAAAAAAAATTAAAACCCCACTTGTGAATAAGCAATATCCCTGTCTTCTTCAGTGCAATGTGTGTCGTATTTTGCAAAATTTTATACTTATTTGAAGCTGCCACAGGTTCTGTTCAGATTCTGTTTCTAAACTGTTGCGATCATTAGTGTCATAGTGCAGATAGATGTACATGTACTTCAATACTAGACCAAAAACGCGTTTTCCACTGAGCCCATTAAGCAAAGTGTGAGCCCACATCTTTTTATTTTGATGTCCTGGTAAGTCGCTTCTGATTACCTGGCCTTTTGGCATGGGGTTTGTAAAGACTTAGATTACATAAAGTTCCTCTTATCTATATCTTACAGAATCTAACAGTCATGGCCTTACGCGCAGTAGGGTTGTATGAATTATCTTGATTTCTGGGTATTTCCTAGGGAAAGTAGCATAGTAAACTATAGTTTACTATAGTTAACTGTAGTAAATGAAAGTTTTAAAGTTTTCACTATAGGAAATCAAAGTACCAAGGTTTTCACTTAAGTAAATCAAAGTCCCAAAGCTTTTACTATATATAGTGAATCCAAGTTTCAAATTTTCACCATGGTAAATAAAAGTTTCAAAGTTTTCACTACAGTTCAACAAAGTTTTTACTTTAGTGAATCAAAGTTTTTACAATAGTGAATCAAAGTTTCAAAATTTTCACTTTTAATAGTAAAACAAACTTAGAACTTTGACACTATAATTTTAAACCTATAGTAAAGTATAGTTCACTTTGGTACAGTGTAATTTTGTTAAGGATTCCATGAGCATGTTGTATTAAAATCGCTTTCAGCATTGTGGAGGAATTTTTAAAACATATCTTAAGAAGTCTCTTATAATCACACTAGGATTTTTATTTTCCTTCTTCTCCATCTCATAAAACACCAAACTGTATCTCTTTGACCTCTGTTCATTGTACTTTAACTGCTTTTCATCTGCTTCTAGTTTGTCTTCGAGATCAGAAAATTTTCTCCAGCTCTCTTCACCTCATCTTTTTTTCCTTCCACCTCACTTAGCCTTTCTTTGTGGTTCTATAGACCTT